TTAGTTAATGTGTAGTAATGGCATAAACAAATGCCATGTGTTTTGAAACTCTGTAACTTCATTGTTTTTTTGGGGGGTTTTTTAATCCCTTCTCTCTCCTGCGGGTAGTTTATCCTTAAAGCTCGGGTCCTCTACCAGACCCTGGGAGTATGAAGGTGCGCTCTTCTAGGACTGTGTTCTTCTGAACAGAGGTCTGATATTGTTCCTGGGATCTGCTGGAGTTTCCCACTCTCACATACATTAATCACATAATTTCAGTTTCTGTGAGACACCTGCACAACTCTTCTGAGTTTCCTCAGTATCCACTCTTTTTTTGCAGTGCATTTTCTCTGGTTTATTGGAGACTGAATTTGCTCCATGACTCTACAAGGACACTCCCGATAAAGCAGGTGCAAGCGACAGAGCAGCCCTTATAGAACTACACCATGTGACCTTGTCAAATAATGGACTGAATTTTTTTTTTATACTTCTTTGCTACATTTATGAAGATGATTTTAACTTGTCATTAAACAGTTTTATGAAGTTGTTATAGACATTATATACTAAGGTATGAAATAATCAAGTAATTATTTTGGGGGGAACTTTGTTGTACTTCCCTATCTAATTGCACTTCACGGATATTTGTTAGAAAAACTTTATGGTGTAAAACATTAAACCTTAAGTATGAAAATATCTGAAAATATATATTTCAGTATTCAAAAAGAATTGCTTAACATAGTTAAGATAAAACATACATAAATCAGTGGTAAAATAGCTCATATATATTTCTATAATGTCCATTCCACATTACTAATACCTGCAAATAAGTGAACAAACCAATCCTAAAAATATTTGCATAAATCTATCCATCTATTTATCGTTATATAAACTCAACTTTTCCTGTGTCCGTTTAGAAGCACATTAGATGGTGCAAAGGAATGTATAGCCAGTACTGAAATAAATACTAATACTAGATGTGACTCTTAAATTTAAGTCGGAGTTTTACTTGCTGTTGATCAGTTTGTGCAATCTGAATTCCCTTGGAAGTATTTAATTACAACAACAGAGCTGATTGATCTGTTTTCCTATGTTTGCACCTTATTTTAATGCAGCACACAAACCTGTTTTAGAGCGTGGGGCGTAGCGTGGCACCAGGGTACACTCAGGAGGAGGAAGAGTTCTGCTGTGCCAATGTGCTGCAGCCTCGGTGTCAGTTATGTTTGAGATGTTTATATAAATGCTTTATATCACAGGACACTCGTCACTCACGCTCTCTTTATACTTGTGATTCTTTCCTTGTTCTTTCGTGCGTGTCTGAACACCGGCGTCCGGGCTGTGATGGAGCGCTGGCGGGGCAGAGTGGCTCTGGTGACCGGAGCCTCGGTCGGGATTGGGGCGGCTATAGCTGTAGAGCTGGCACGGCTCGGAATGAAAGTGATGGGCTGCGCCAGGGACGTCGGAAAAATACAGGTTTGCAGTTTCTGCGGGGAGTAATTTAATGTAAAGTGACTCTGTCACGAAGTATTGGTTGATATCTAATGCTATGAGGATCATTTTTCAGCAGAGTTAGGTTTATGAGAAAAATACATCTATGTGTTGATTGTGCAATTCACAGTTTGTGTCACACCTCAAAACCACAGAAATGTCTTTGGCAGGCATCACTGCATAATCATGTGCCTGCTGTATAGTATACTCTTTGTGAGCTGTTCACAAAGAGCCTCAAGCAAAAATTTATTTGTATTGCACTGCTGCACGTAAGTATTTGAACACTTGGAAATCAGCAAGAATTCTGAATGGTGACCTCATTCATCCTGTCCCCTTCGCAGAAAAGCATGATGTTTCCACCCCCAAATCTTCACAGTAGGGATGGTGTTCTTGGGATGCAACTCATCCTTCTTTTTCCTCTGCAAGTGAAGTTTAGACCAAAAAGTTCTATTTTGGTCTCATCTGACCACATGACTTTCTCCCACACCTCCTCTGGATCATCCAGATCGTCACTGTCAAACTTCAGACGGGCCTGGACATGTGATGACTTGAGCAGGGTAACCTTCCGTGCAATGCATGATTTGAGACCACGTGTTCTACTGACAGTGACCTCTAAAACTGTGGTCCCAGCTCTCTTCATTACATTAACCAGCTCCTCCCGTGTAGTTGAGGGCTGATTCCTCACCTTTCTTATCATCAGTGATACCCCATGAAGTGAGATCTTGTATGGAGGCCCAGTCCAAGGGAGACAGTCGTCTTTAGCCTCTTCCATTTTCTAACAATTGCTGCTTGGCAATTGCCCCGTAGCCCTTTCCAGCCTTGTGGAGGTCCACAATTTTATCTCTGATTTCTTTTGACAGCTCTGTGGTCTTGCCCATGGAGGCAGTTGGAGTCTGACTGGCTGTAGGGTGGACAGGTGTCTTTAAAAAGCTCAGACAGGTGCTACTAATTTAGATTAATAAGTGGAGTAGACGTGGACTTTTTAAAGGCATAGTAACAGGTCTTTGAGAGCCAGAATTCTTGCTTCTTTGAAAATCATACAATGTGATTTCCTGAATTGTGTTTTAAATGCTGTATCTCACGGAGGGAATGCACCTACAATGTGAATATCAGACCACTCCATGATTTCTAAGTGGGAGAACTTGCAAAATCGCAGGGTTTTCAAATACTTCTGTTCCTCACTGTAAATGTTTAAATGGTAGATTGAAACACAGAGCAAACACACAAAGGGAATCCTGAAGTCTGTCATCTTTTCAGACAGAATATGACGGCAGCTTTATGTTAAAACGGCATTTGTGCAGCTTTTTTTTCCCTTTAAGACTTTGGGTAATGATTCTTCAGTTGACTTCAATCTGTAAACTTACAGGTGATATGCAAAGTGAAAACTTAAATCTACTTATTTACACTAAGTTGATATAAATCTAAATTGTGAACAATTTTTACATGCATTAAACACACATGGGATTCTGAAGTCTGTTTTTGTTTCCTGCTTGGTTTCAGAAACTGGCAGCAGAGTGTCAGAGCGCCGGCCACTCTGGTGTTCTGGTGCCTTTCAAGTGTGACTTGACCAAAGAAGAGGAGATTCTGGCCATGTTCGCAGCGATCAAAGAGCAGCACAGAGGCGTGGACGTGTGCATCAACAACGCCGGCTTGGCTCACCCAGAGCCGCTGCTAAATGGCAAAACCAGCGGCTGGAAGAACATGATGGATGTAAGAGCTCAGTGTTATCTCCTGGATTGGTCTGCAGCGATGTTTGTGATTTCTTTCAAAGTAACATCAAGGGTGTCCCAGCAGAACAATAAATTAAAATAATAAATGTAACCTATCAGTGCTTTTAATGTTGCACCTGAGTAAGAATTAACACTGTGGGGTTAATTTACACTTGTGCACAAGAAGAAATGATTAAATGTAAAGTTTTTTTCTTCTTCTCGGTCTCTTGCAGGTGAACGTTTTTGGATTGAGTATCTGCGCGCGTGAAGCATATCAGTCAATGAAAGAGAGACATGTTGACGATGGGCACATCATAAACATAAACAGGTGCATTTTTATTTGCTGATGTACAATGACGAGCCCGCATGTCGCATACACTGTTGGTTTCATCTACACATAGTTATAATACAACATTCCTGCTACATTAACAATGATAGAAAAACTTACTGTTACGGTTTTAGAATCTTGAAGAGATGCATCCAAATGCAGGATGCAGAGAGGCAGAGGGCAGGAACCAAAGATGCCTCATTTATTCTTAGCCAGCACACAGTCCATAAGAAAAAGTGTCAGGGATAAGAGCTGAGCTAAATCAGAAAAAAGTGATTTAGTTAATCTGTTGATTTATTAAATGATAACTATACCTGAGAAATATGAAAGAAAGCAAAATCTAAGCTGATGATAAAATCACAGAAAACCAAACGGGAATTATGGCTAGAAAATGAAACCCTGAAGGACCAACAACAGAACAGTAAACAGCCAAGAGAATCCAAAAACCTCTTGGCTCACATGGAACACACAGAAAAAATGTCTGCGCTGGAAAAGGTACACAGCTCAGGAATTATCATTATCAAATCATCAAAACAAAATGATTGTTACAGACCTGATACAGCTCTGTGGTGGGCCACAGATTTTCTTGAATCAATCAGACATGGCTTTAAAGGAATAGCTTAAAGATCAATACATGTTGTTTAATGCCCATCTGTGTAAAAACTAACAAATTGCCTGCTGTTTTAGTGTATGTGGACATCATGTGATTCCCCATGCTGATGTACATTTCTACACCGCCACCAAGTTTGCTGTAACCGCTCTGACTGAGGGCTTAAGGCAGGAGCTCCGTGCAGAAAACACCCATATCCGAGCCACGGTAAGGCTTTAAAACATTGTAACCAGCTCCAAGGCTGCCTTTACCACCAATATAAGCTTCTATGACACACATGCACAATGCTTCCTGAAGTTCTTTTCAGTATCTACTCTTTTGCAGAGCATTTCTCCCAGCTTAGTGAAGACTGAATTTCCTTTGCGGCTCTATAGCAACAATCCAGATATAAAAGCCAGAGTTTTCTCTGCATATAAGGTAAGATTATTATTTCGGCAGTTCATGTACTATTTAGATGATTACTCGGATTAAAAAAAATAATATTTTCATTTCTCTTGCAGCCTTTGGAAGCAAAAGACGTTGTCAACGCTGTTATATACGTGCTCGGTGCCCCTCCTCATGTTCTGGTTTGTGATTTACTGTTGTTTTCATTTTCTTTTACCGGTAATTGTGACTTATTTAACTTTTTTGTTTTCTTGTATTATGTGGTGTTATAATAAGGTAACATTAACATAACTTTTCTTTCAGATTGGAGAGGTTCAGATGCTAGCAACAGAGCAGAAGTCTTAGAGTTGCACCACGAGACGCTCCTGAATTAATAAGACCAATTCTTCTCCTTTATGAAGCTGACGACCAGCATTGGGTGTAACATGCTGCTGTAATCAGATTACATTTTTCAGTAATACAACACAGTTGTAACAATTATAGCACTACTGGCCTTTTAAAGGTTCTTCCAATCATCTGGAGGATGGCCAAATAGAAAGAAAAAACTGTTAATCATGTCTTGCTGTTGCTCTATAACCAGCTGATTTTAGTTCGTGTGTAAGCAGCAGGAAAATTGTAAAATGGGAATCAACTTCTGAGGAGTAAAAATAAGGACATTACTTGTATTTCTTGTATTGCATGAATTGACAAGAGCACAATGGTAAAAGCACAAACTGCATCCATGATGGAAGCAACTGCATTATACAACTAACTCAACATTAGCTCTTTGCAAATATCTGCACACACACCATGCAAACACAAGGCTAGTTAAAAGCCCAGAGAGATATTAAAGCTGAGTGTATGCTAACCCCAGCCCAGCAGCCAGAGCCTCATCTTAAACATCTAACAAATGCAGTGATGAGGTTGGAGGTTCCATTTCTACCCACTCTACCTGTTTCTACAGTGTAATCACAGTGGCAGTCTTTTTTTAAACAGTGTTAGAGCTGGTTTTCAGCGTTTAGAATTAAACGCTAAAAGAAATGCGTATCCACGTAAGTTAGGGATTTGTGTCAGTGTGTAGGGCTATAGCTTAAGGTCATGTTGTTCTTGGTAATTATATGATAGTGTACTTCAGGGAATCTTACAGAGTAGCATCTCACAGGTAATGTGAGTAATGACTGAAACACAGGGGACAGTTTATGATCTGGTCCTTAAATAACTTTATGATGTTTGTTCTGAATAATTTCACTAATTTATCTAATAAAATGGTGTTCAAGGAAACTTTGTTGCACTCTGTTATTTTTTTTTATTAGAAAATTATGTATCTACATAATTATTATGTATTATTTAAAGGAAATTAAATTTATACATTGTATGGCACAGAAAGGGCTGAAAAATAGCTGAAATATTTGGATACCGTTAATGAATAACATACTACTAATACATGAGAAAGTAAATGTAAAAAGTCCTGAGAATGTTAATGTTATGTTATGTTATTTAAACATATTGAATTTCCCAGAACATACACAAACTGAGTGAAGTGACAGAAATGTCTGTGTGGCGGCCACAGAAAGAGCTGTTTGAATTCAAAGGGGCGTTCCTCCTTTGGCATTTGATACATTGGGTCATCCTTTATGAAACGAGAGAAGATAAAGCCATCAACACTCGTTCATGAAAATGATCAACATAATTAACTGCTGTAATAAAATATTAATTTTGTTAAAGTGTTGCCTGAAAAACAGTCACCAGCTGCTTTATTAGATACAGCTTGCTATTACAAAGTTGGGCCCCTTTTGCCTTCAGATCGGCTTAAACTCTAAATGGCAGAGTCAACAAGGTGCTGGAAACGCTCCTACTAAGATTTTGGTCACACAGTTGCTACAGATTTTTTAGATGCACATCCGTAATGTGAATCTTTTAAGTTCCCACATCCCGTTGGATTGAAATCTGGTGACTCTGGACTTCATTTGAGTGCAGCGAAGTCAAAACAGAAAATTACCAGGACATTTTCTGTTTTTCTACGTAATTCTTTTTTACAGCGTGGTTTAAATATTAATTCGATTTTATATTTGTTTTTATAAAACACTCTGTCACACTCTGCTGACATTTGTGAGCTACTAGACCTTAATGAGCGATTTCTTTAACATATCACTGACCCCATCTAGGAAGCATAATCTGTTGTGAATCCATTTAATCCGCTTTTGTGCACATGACAGTAACCATGGTGCCCTGAAGAGATGGCAACAACAAGACAACCCCTGTAAATGAAATGGTTTTGCAAACAGTTTTACCAGAGGCCATTGCTCTCTTCTGATCCCTCCTGGATGATTTTTCTCTAGTTTTGCTTTTTGCTTGTGTATTTGTCACTGTTGGGAGCATGAGACAGCAAATCCTGTCCATTCAGGTTAGACAGATTTAGCCCAGCTCCCTCAGGTTGCTGCACCCATACATGCACAGTCTCAACGGTGTTATAGAGAATATCTTTGCTGTTCTGCTAATTTAGCAGTATCATGATAAATGGTATGCATGGGCATGACTGACTGTGTTGTTTTACAAAAAATAAAAAGGACAATACAAATCTTAATCTTCAGTGTCAAAGAGCAGATCAATTATATCTTTGTCAGCTAAAGTAATCTGAATAACTGATATCTGACATGTCCAGTTTATATATAAAGAAACCTTTTCTTCTTAAAGTCAGAATAGATTGGTGTCCCAAGCAATAGAAATGCCTTATAAACCAGTATTGACCACATGAAGAATCTGGCAGTAAACACAACCCTGATGAAATAACATAAGTTCAATAAGGAACGATCATTTAAAAGGAATTGAACGTGTATTAATGATGTACAGAATTCAGATAGAGGTAACTGGCAGTTAGAGTCCAATGGCCCATCACTTCTAAATACAAACAAAAGTAGTTGAATACTCAAATGCCCATAAAGAACCCATAACGTTTGTAAACCACATAGCAAGTAACTTTAAACCATCTTAATCTGAACTACATAATAAAGACAATCCCACAACATAGCCCAGAGTTCATATAAGGTCTACAAATAAAAGTAGGTGCCCTGTTTTAAACATGTTGGAAGGGTACCTTTCACCCTTCTGATGAGAGGCCTCGGGCCGTGACACACGTTGGGAATGAGAATGCTCTGCTGTTTTAGGATCATATATTAAGACCTAAAAAATAATAAGATTGTTTTAAAAATTCATTTATTACTTATCATCAACATGACCTGCTCAAGCGCAGGCCTCAGGACTCTGGTGTGTTTGCGTCTGTTCATTGTGCTTGGAAATATTTCATCTGTGGAATAAAGAGTTTGGTTTCAGTCGTTTTTTAATCTGTTTGCTTCTCTGCTCTTGAACCTTCTGTGACAGGAAAACCCTTCTTAAAATGCTGGACAGTTATTAGTAGGAACCATCCAGGTTAACAAATTTGATTTAAAAAGAAACAAAATAATGACTTTAAAGGTCTTTTTTGTCTCTTAAATATTAAACTTAAACTGTTGTTACACTGCATCTCTGTAGATCTATAGATTTAATCTCAGCATGCTCTAAGCGCCACGTCGGTGTCTTAATGTGTCTGATTTTTAAGAGAGAAATATACTGGGCCAAGGGAAACCATGACAAAAATAAATAAATAGAGACTAGTGTACATTGCAAATGAAAGTGAAGCAACAGCTACGAACTGTTCTGTGGATTTCAAAGTGGCATTTACCTATGCAAATATGTGCAGGAAGAGCCGAAACAGACAGAAATCGTTTAATTTAATTTAATATTTTTGTTACGAGTGCATTACCGCCAGTGTTTCAGCGTTTTATCACTACAGAAAACCTTTTCCTCCTACAGTGTGAACATGACTTTAATGCAGCACACAGAACGGACAGCCTTGGTCGTGTGTATACAGTACATCGACTTCTCATCGATGCATTACAGCTGACGCTCCGGGGTCATTCTGCGGCAGATTCTTCATACTTGTGGTGCTTTTCGTGCGTGTAGTAGGTTACCGGTGTCCGGGCTGTGATGGAGCGCTGGAGGGGCAGAGTGGCTCTGGTGACCGGAGCCTCGGCTGGGATTGGAGCGGCTGTGGCAGTAGAGCTGGTCCGGCTCGGAATGAAAGTGGTGGGCTGCGCCAGGGACGTCGGAAAAATCCAGGTTTGTTTTGAAGTGAAAACTCAGTTTACGCATAGAGTAATTTAACCTCTATACAGGGCTGGACTGCGTCGGCAAATACCCGGTATGCTCTTATCTGGCATACCGGGTATTTGTGTATATAAGTGACTCGAGCAGAGAAGTAAATTGTGATGTTAAAGTTACCGTTTTGCATAACATTTCCAGCTGTGTCAGACTTACATAACATAGAGAGGCTGGCCAGCAGCCAGCACACCCTGTATTATAGCTCTGTAAATCAAACTCTGTGACTCTATTGTTAGCAACTTACGCAAGAGAAAGAAAAAAATACAAGAAAAAAGCCGGAAACATATGTTTCCGGCTGTATTTTTTTTTTTACTCTCATTACTCTCATTGATTTGCCTTTGTACAATTCTTTTGATTTACTTGTGTAAAGTGTACCGAATATTCAGTTCACAGCAAGATAAAAATGTTTTTTGTAGGTATCATCATATAATCACACTCCTCCATAATAAAGTGATTATTAGGCCAATGAAATATGCCCATTGTGAGATGTTCACACTGGGAAGGCCCAGACAACACACACAAGCTAGTAGAACACCTAAACACAGACAAGCTGCTAAGATTCTTTTTGAAGTGAGAATAAGGATTTTAAATGATGGAACTGTGACTAGTAAAGGGAGGCAGCTGACTGATATGATGGAGAAAGAAGAAATGAGCATATCAGAAGAACAACTCACGTTGAACTGTTTGGAGACAAAGTTAGAGATGCAAGGCTGAGAGGGTATGGAAATGTGCAGAGGAAGGATAGTGGATATGTAGGACAAAGGATATGGAATATAGAGTTCCAGGCAGAAAGTAAAGAAGAAGACCACAAAGAAGATTCATGGATGTAGTGAAGGTTAATTGGCATGACAGAAGAATATGCTAGAGTCAGATGATACGCTAAAAAGAAAATGCACTGTTAGTTATTGAGTTCTGATATCCAGAATGAAAACTCCAATCTACATATTTGCAGTAACTTTACAGCAAAGGCAAAAGGCAAAGAGCAAACACCTGGGAAACACAGTGAAACAGGACAGCAAAACAGAACCCGACGCACACAGACTGAAGACTAGCAAAGTAAAACAGGAAATACACCGACTGAACTTACCGACACAGGCTCAAAAACACGGGCTTCACACAGAGACAAGGAAACATAAGGGACAGAACAAGAACAGAAACTATGAACTATAAACATAATATAACAGAGAACAATAATTCAAGGAATAAAACTTAAACCAAAACACTGGGTCGCAGACCTTGTGGAAAAATAACATTTGAATGGCAAATTCATACACTTTAAAAACACAAAATGGATTCTAAAGTCTGTCATCTTTTTCTTCTTGGTTTCAGAAACTGGCAGCAGAGTGTCAGAGTGCTGGCCATCCTGGTGTTTTGTTTCCTTTCAAGTGCGATTTGACCAAAGAGGAGGAGATTCTGGCCATGTTTGCAGCGATCAAAGAGCAGCACAAAGGTGTGGACGTGTGCATCAACAATGCTGGCTTATCTCATCCAGAACCTCTGCTAAGTGGCAAAACCAGCAGCTGGAAGAACATGATGGATGTAAGAGCTCACATCTTGGTTTGGTCTACGAATGTTGTAGTGTGTGATTTCTGTGGGTTTTTCTCTGTATCTATTCTTGTACGATCTACTGTACAATATAAAGCGCCTCGAGGCAACTGCTGTTGTGATTTGGTGCTATATAAATAAAATTGAATTGAATTAAATGTAAGATTCACATGAAGGTTTTCCCAACAGGTCATTAAAATGTAAGAACATGATGCGTGTGGTCACCGATCAGTGGTCTTAATGCATTTTTGTACCCACTGTGTGTGAGATGCAATAAGTAGATGTGCCATTTGGAGGTGTTGATTCCAGATACATTTTCTTTGTTGTTTACTTCTCTTACAGGTGAACGTTCTTGCACTGAGCATCTGCACGCGTGAAGCTTATCAGTCAATGAAAGAGAGAAACGTGGACGATGGGCACATCATAAACATCAACAGGTGCAGTTTTATTTAATAATGCTTTGTGACGGGTATGCTTGTGAAATTGGTTTAATTATTAAACAAAGGCTATATCTTATAATCTTTATTAAACAGTCAGTCTCTGATTATGACAACACTACACAATGGACCTCACAGTGGACCTTTTGTTAAAGCTGGAGGGCAGGACTTTCCCTTACATTCAACCCAAACACGCCAATGCTCCCTATCTGTGCCATGGTACATAGCAACCTCCAGTATTAGCATCATTATGTTTATTTTACCATGAAGTTCCTTTTTATCAGAGTGACCTGGCAACCAAAGTGGTGCTATAAATTCTAATAAGTTAACAATGACTGGTTCACCTACGAAAGTCTAGGAAGCATCCATGAAAGTTGTCAACACTACACAGAAGACTGTTTTCACAGCAAACAATAGAAAAAGCAAAGAAGAGGGTAATAACAATGGCAATGGCTCTATCCCAATAACAAGGAGCAAATGATTATCTGTTGCATTCAAGCCAAAAAAAAGGAAAGCAAACAATGCTGATTAAACCTGTCAGCACCAGGTATTTCTCTCTGGAAATAAAAAAAAAAGCCAATGAGAAACTCCAAATCGTGTCTCTAAAAGAATAACCTACAGATGAGTGCATGTTGGTAAATGCTGACCAGGTTACGACTTCTTCTGAACTGTCTTCTGTTGCAGCTTGTGTGGGCATAGTGTGATTCCCCATGCTGATCTACATTTCTACACCGCCACAAAGTATGCTGTAACCGCACTGACGGAGGGCCTGAGGCAGGAGCTGCGTGCAGAAAAGAGCCATATCCGAGCCACAGTAAGGCTTTAAAAACAATGCACCCAGCTCCAAGACTGCCTTTAACACCAATATCAGCTCCTAAGAAACACATGCACAAAGTGTCTGAGACAGCAGTATTACCTGTTATAATATACACAAGGTGCTTCTTGAAATTCCTTCATTATCCAGAGAAACCCACCCGAGGGATTAATAAAGTTTTATCTCATCTCATCTTATCTTATCTTATCTTATCTTATCTTATCTCATCTCATCTCATCTCATCTCATCTCATCTCATCTCATCTCATCTCATCTCATCTCATCTTATCTTATCTTATCTTTTTTTTTTTTTGCAGAGCATTTCTCCTGGTTTAGTGGAGACTGAATTTGCATCACGGTTCTATAAAGACAATCCAGATAAAGCAGCTGGTGCATACTCTGCATATAAGGTAACATTATTATTCGTACTGTTCGTGTACTGCTGATATGGTTACTCAGATACAACTATTAACCATTTTTCACTTCTCCGACAGCCTCTGGAAGCAATAGATGTTGCCAATGCTGTTACCTACGTGCTCAGAGCTCCTCCTCATGTTCAGGTGACTTTCTCTAATTTTAATGCTTTTTTTATTCTGACTTATTGTTTTTCCTCATCTACTATTTAATTGTCAATACTTTATGTATAATAATATATAAGAACATCTTTCTTTCAGATTGGAGATGTTCTGATGAAAGGCACTGAGCAGGCTTAGGTTTGACCTACATGATTCCCCCTGAATGAACCTACTTTACTTTACTTTACTTTACTTTACTTTACTTTACTTTACTTTACTTTACTTTACTTTACTTTACTTTACTTTACTTTACTTTACTTTAATTTACTACATTTATAAACAGTTTGGTTTATGATGTTTGTATTGAAAATTTTCACTGATGTATAAAATAAAATGATGGTGGGGGGCTTGTTGAGTGTTCTTATTTTACTGAAGGAGACCTGATATAAACAACAGTTTACGGTAGAAAACATTTAATTGTCATTTTAACATTATCTCAAAAATATATTTCACTCTGCCAACAATAGTATTAAAATGTAAAGTTAATATATAATACCTGACTAATACACGGGAAAGTAAAGTCCTGAGAATATTAGTTAATAGAGTTACTTAAACATATTGAATGTCTCAGAATACACAGAAGCTTTTCACAAAAAAGCTAAATAAAATCCTAATAACTAAAGTAACATATTTTGAATATTGTTGTTAGAGATTTAGTAACTTGCTAAATGATCCATGCACTGATGGTTTGTGTCATAATGCAATTATAATGCAATAAAGCTCCTAACTTCAATTAATGACATTTTTGAAGTGTCTCATAGTTACACAGTTACACATCTACAATATGAATCACTGTACTGAGTGTTCAACAATATATATGAAATATAATTGGTTAAAAATACATTTGGCACAGTTCAAATATTAGAAAATGAGTAAACGCTTACCTGATGAATTCACAGAGATCTCTGGGGTACAGTAAGGGTTTCATATGTATTTTAAAATTCATTTAGCATTAAGATTTGAATCTTCACCATAATGATGATTCAGATAAAAATAAACATTTCTTCCCCATGAACATCACTTCAGCTCTTCAGTGGTCCATTTGACTGTTTTTTGAACCTCCGTTAGAGACACCTTGTTGACCTCTCATTCATCCAAGCTCCGTCTCTCATGATGTCCTTCTGCACATCAGTTAACCAATTAACGTCCTTCCCTGATTTTGGCTTCCACAGGGGTCTTTCTCTACATCCACCCTTGATTTTCAGTTATAAGGCAGATCATTAATATGCTGTGATTTGCATGTTTTTAATAAATTTTTTATTGTGTTTTAAATGATTGTGTTGCATGGGTTTGGTTTCAGTTTTGTTAAAGTTTTGTTTTGTGGTGAAAATTCTTACTGTTTTATTTATTTCATGTTTTTGGGAGAATATTCTGACTAATCATGTTTCCCTAACCAGATTGTCTGATTGACTTGAGTCCTGTTGGTATGGGTTGCCCTGGGTCAATTAGCAGTTATGGTGTGGAGTTTGTTAATTAAGGAGGCCTGTACAGAACCAGGGGAGCCAAGATATTTGGAGAGATGTGCTGAGTACTGAAAGGAGGGGGCTCCAGATATGAGAGGCCACGAGTTGGGGCTCTGCAGAGCTTGGAACTGGACAGAAGAGCCCAAGAGCGGACACTGTGGAAATCGAGGTGGGTCTGATTGGATATAGAGTTTGGAAATAGAAGCTAAACTTGGAGTTGCCGCCATTGCCTGCTGAATGCCGGCAAGGGGGAGGGGTCCAACCTGATCATCATCATGGATAAATATGGGAAAACCAACTAGCTAGATTCAAGACTCTGTTTTGAAAGTGAATATGTAAACATTATAAGCATGTAATCGTGTAAATACCAAAACATGTAAATATTAAATATAAATGGAAATGTGTACATAATTACATCTGTAAACATCATAAACACATCTCTGTAAATCAAATGAAATATGAATTTGCTTCTACACCGTACAAAATCATTCAATTTAATATTTAAGTCCTTGCCCGTCTATTCTTTGTGTATGAATCATAACTTTAAAAAATAAACAGGTCTAACTCATTCTGTGTGTGCAGAGAGTTCAGACATATATATATATATGTCTCCATAAAATGCGATAGAATTAGGTTTTATTTTCATGAATGCAAGTAAACATATCATAGTATAGTTTTTACTTGAATAAACAAAAGAACCGATTCAACTGTTTTCCTACAGTTTGCTGATGACTTGAACGCAGCACACAAGCATATGATGTGTTTAAAAGCATCGCGTGTTCACGATCACAAGACAGTTGGAGCTCCGGAGTCCGTTTTCTTCAGACTTAGCGTCCCTGGCATCATACTTGAGGTGCTTCCGTCCGTGTAGCAGATTACCGGGCTGTGATGGAGCGCTGGCGGGGCAGAGTGGCTCTGGTGACCGGAGCCTCGGTCGGGATTGGGGCGACTATAGCCGTGGAACTGGTCCGGCTCGGTATGAAAGTAATGGGCTGCGCCAGGGACATCGGAAAAATCCAGGTTTGTTCTGAAGTGGAAACTCAGATCCCGCAGAGAGTAATTTAATGTAAACTAGCTAGCACGGAGTAAATTTTGATGTTAAAGTTGCCGTAATGCAAATAAATAAATAAATAAATAAATATAGCTTTCAGACTTACAAAAGAGAGGCTGGGCGAGCAGGAAGCATTAAACTATTATAAACTGACGAAAGCATGTAGTTACAGCACACTAATATATTACATTATTAATTAACTGCACAAGTGTTTTGTTAACAGCCACTGCACCGGACGTTAAGTTTAATATGGCACAGAAAGTAGGAAGTTGGACACGTGACTTTCATCTGAATTGTAGTTTTCATAAATCAAAATGTTAAACACAACAATGAAATTCGCCTTTTTGTCCTCTTTTTCTTGAATTGCCTAGCTTTCAGACCATCCTAACACACAAGTCAGCATTTTCGATTTGGTACTCACTGAGGGTTTTTTTCTGTTTTGTTTTGTTTTTTGTTTTAGCTTTGATAGAAAATGATGTTTTCAAAGATTAGCCACAACCATCCATTTAGCATATAATAAATGAAGAACTTGATTTTCTGAAGTTTTTTTTATTTCCTTGATGAAATGCATGAACTGTTTGATTCATACCTCAAGACAAAACCAGAGAAAAGGCTTTTGCAGGCATCATCACATCATCATGTGCCTGCTGTTACAAAATGATTATTAGGTCAGTGAAATAAGCAAAACTCAAAAACGGGCAGAACATCCAAACACAGGCAACCTACTGTTTGTGGATGATACGCATGGGTCACTGAGCTTTGATATGCAAACTGAAAACTCAAATCAATGTATTTACAGTAACTTAATCTACATGTTTGAATAGTAGATTCGTACACTTTAAAAACACAAATGGGATTCTGAAGTCTGTCATCTTTTTCTATTCTGGTTTCAGAAACTGGCAGCAGAGTGTCAGAGTGCCGGCCACCCTGGTGTTTTGGTTCCTTTCAAGTGTGACTTGACCAAAGAGGAGGAGATTCTGGCCATGTTCGCAGCGATCAAAGAGCAGCACAAAGGCGTGGACGTGTGCATCAACAACGCTGGCTTGGCTCACCCAGATCTGCTGCTAAATGGCAAAACCAGTGGCTGGAAGAACATGATGGATGTAAGAGCTCAGAGTTATTGTAGAAATAAAACACTTGTTTTGATCTGGAAGAACTTTTCGCATTGCAGATCATTGCATTGTAAAAAGTAATTCACATTTGTTGATTCCAGATATTTTCTTTACATTTTATTTATTTTCTTGGTTTCTTACAGGTGAACGTTCTTGCTCTGAGTATCTGCACACGTGAAGCTTATCAGTCAATGAAAGAGAGAAATGTTGACGATGGCCACATCATAAACATAAACAGGTGTGCAATTTTTCACAAACTTGTAATATTGTTATTACCATTATCTGTATTTTACCACAAAGTCTCATTTTACAGAAGGAGAGTGCCTAGTGACTGGGCCTTAGCTTAAGGGGCCCACTGGCATCCATCAGTCTAGTAACTGAATATTTCAATTCATTTTAATTATATTTATATAGCACCAAATCACGACAACAGTCAATTCAAGGCGCTTAATACTGTAAGGTAAAGATTCTACAATAATACACAAAAACCCTGGCAATCAGACAACCTCCTGTGAGTAAATACTTTGGCGACAGTAGGAAAGAAAAACTTCCTTTTAATAGGAAGAAACTTCTGATAGGACGAGTCAGCCATGAATGGTTGTGGGTCCATTTAACAAATTAACAAAGTCAAAGAGAAACTGCAAAACATCAGGATAAAATAACTGCTGCAACCCTATATACAGTTTTGTGGGCAGCAGAGTGTCTTACATCAGTGAGAAATTACTTAAAAAATAACACAAAATAAATGTTGCTTAATGCTCGCCTGGTTAATGCCTCATAAATCTGTTGCAGCATGTGCGGACATCGTGTAGTTCCCAAAGCTGTTCTGCATTTCTACACCGCCACAAAGTATGCTGTAACCGCCCTGACGGAGGGACTGAGGCAGGAGCTGCGTGCAGAAAACAGCCATATCCGAGCCACAGTAAGGCTGCAGCCAATCTAAAAGTGTCTGAAACACCAATATTACAGTTTTCAGATACACACATGTAGTAGTTTGTGAAGATCCCTCAATATCAGCTCTTTTTTGCAGTGTATATCTCCTGGTTTAGTGGAGACAGAATTTGCTTTCCGGCTCTACAGCAACAGTCCTGATAAAGCATCTGGTGCATATTCTGCATATAAGGTAAAATTATTATTCCTACTCTTCATGCACTGCTAATACGATAACTCAGATAAAATGAATTTCATTTGGATGCCAGTCTAGCTCACTGGGTCAAGCAGGTGACCCATATGCCAAAAGGCCACTATAGGGGCTCAGGTGTGATCTGGCCTGGCCACTTTCTGCATGTGATTCATTCCCTGCGTTTCTGTCTACTCTACTGATCTATAAAAATAAAGAAGAAAAGGCCCAAAATAAAAATATTTTTAAAGCTGTTAATCATGTTCCACTTCTCTGACAGCCTCTGGAAGCAATAGATGTTGCCAATGCTGTTACATACGTGCTCAGTGCGCCTGCTCACGTTCAGGTGATTTCCTCTTATTTTAATTCTTTTTTATTGTGAATTATTGGTTTTCCTGATTTGCTGTTTAAACATCAGCACTTTGCTTGTAATAATATATAAAAAACATCTTTCTTTCAGATTGGAGATGTTCAGATGCAAGGCACGGAGCAAGCTTAGGGTTGACCTACATGATCCCCCTGAATTAACCTACTGCCTTACTACACTTATGAAAATGATGAGTTGTGATATGGTCATGAAACAGTTTTGTTTATGATGTTTGTCCTTAAAGTTTTCACTGATTTATAAAATAAAATGTTTTTGTGGGGGAAATTTGTGAGTGTTCTTATTTCACTGAAGGAAATCTGATTTAAAGAGCAGTGTATGGTGGAAAACATACAGTTGTAGGTGTAAAAATATCTCAAACATATGTTTCATTCCTCCAACAATAGTAATAAAATGTAAAGTTATTATATAATACCTCACTAATTCATGGGAAAGTAGAGTCTGAGAATATTAGTTAACAAAGTTAACCCACCGTGTGTAAAAACAAAAACTGTGGTGACTCTTTGTGACGAGGGAACAGTGAAAAGTAGCTTCAGATTTCGGTTAACTAAAATACTTTTTTCACACCTTGTTTCATGTCTTAGCATATTCCAACTTCAAACTATAACAACACTGGACCCCACCAGACGGATTATGCAGCAAAGTGTTTTTTTGACTAGTATTCTTCCTAATTGTGGTCACGATGACTCTAACTGAGCCTACTCTGAAAAAAAATAATCTTCTTGTTTTTGGAAACATTGGAACAATTGCTGACATGTTTTTTTTCCCACTGATGATCCTGTTTTTTGTGTTGTTTGTACTTTTCTATTTTCCTTTGTACTAAAATGGACTTATATGTCTGAAGTAATGTTTCGATGTAGAGGGAGGATAAGCTTTCACCCCTTTCTGTTTTGACCACTAGAGGTCACAAGCATGACAGAGAGATTAGGTACCCTGCTTATGTCTCCAATTTGATTGATGGCCCTTTTGACCCCACCAGAAGTACTCCGGAAGTGTGTAATATGATCCATAAGCGCAATGAATTGCATCCGGTGACGGGGAGGGTACTCCGGAAGTGTGTATTGGA